GCTCCGATCCCGTGCTCGTTGCCATGTCGCTCCAACTGCAGTGCCGCGGAAAATGACAGCTGTCAAAGTTGTTACAACAACTACTTAGACTGTTGGTAATGGCTGCACTGTTCCTGTGAACAGTATTATGAGTATTACTACGAAAAGTTTGCAGATGTTGCAAGTCTGCCCTGTCACTCAAGCAGGTCGTAGAGGCTGCTCGCAAAAAAGCTCATATGTTTGGAGCCCGGCATTTTTGAAGACCTCAGTCTTGAAGCATCGTCAATCCAGCGCTAGGACGATGTGCATGTCGGGACGTCGTTTTCTGGTATTTACCTCTTCTCCTGCTGGCACATGGCATGCAACCGAGGATAAAGCTACAGCAAAGGGCTGGAGCTCACAAGGATCTCGAGGCAGCGTGCTTCTGTAAGATCCTCACGGTGTTCCGGATGCTGCCGCCAGTTTATTTTGGAACCAGCGTGATGCTCGTGAGGCCGCAGCCGCACCGCATCCGTCTGTTTATGCCTCCACACATACTCCAAACAGCCGTGTACCGCCGGGCCATGCAGACCGGAGCTGCCACACAGAGCCGTTACAGCCTGCCGGAAGACTGCACAACCAACCTTGTCTTTGCAGATCTAAGCTGTTCAGTGGCGTGATTCCTGGAACAGGCGAGACACTGCCTTGACCTGCTGGCGAGTTCCGAAAGCAGGGACTTGCGAGTTCTGGCAGGTAGCATCCAGGCGCGGATTTCGCCCGCAAACGCTACATTGGAGCTGCATTTCAGGCAGCATCGCATGCTGGAGCCGAGAGCTTGTCCCATGGGTACCGCCCTACGAGTGGCCATGAACGACGCTGTGCTTGGAGGCCGCGGCCAAAGCGTTGGGAGCTGCTCATCCAATCGTAGAGAAGGGCCGCCAGGCAAGGGCTCCCAAAAAATGTTTGAAGCTCTCAGACCAAAGCCTCCTACACTTGTCAAACGTGGTGAGCCCTGGGCGAGGAGTTCTTGCAGCAGCGACATGAGCTGCAGCGTCACCAGTCCGGCACTCAAGACTGGCAAGGTCTGCTCGTGTCTTTGAGGACTGCCCCCAGCTTTAACTGCCCGAGGTGGGAGGAATGTGTGGCCATTCATCACACCCTGATGGATGGAGACTCAGACTTCTCAGCTGCACTATCCCCGGACCCCAACCCTCAGAGCATCTGCGATGTTTTGGCAGATCCGGAAGGCCGGCAGAACCGGAGTTCCTGAAAGGATAATCCAAGGACAAGGAGAGCAATGTAGACCTCCGCTTCATAGACAGCCTTTCTTCAGGGCCTCATGGTTTAGATCCCTTCTAAGTGTTTGGATCCCTCCTAGGATCCCCATCACCCTCCCGACTGTAATCCCTTGTTCTACTCCCCAGTCTCATTCCCCATTCTAAGACTTATTCTACTCCCGAGCGTCATCCCTCTATCTTCATCTCTACGCTAATCCACTCTGCAAGGCACCATGGACCCTGTACCAAGCCCCTCAAAGCAAAAGACAAAACGATGAGTCCCCATAAAATCCTACAGCGGACGCTGTCAAAGGCCCTGGACAAGAGAGGCACAAAATCCTGTCAAGCCCGCTACTGCTGCAAATCCTGTAAAGCCTACTACTGCTGCAATCTGAGGTCGAAGCCTGTGAGTCGCAAGATCCAGAGTCGGCTTGCCGAGCTTTCGCCCACCCACCTGGGCCCTTGGGTTTCGGGTTTAGTTAAAAAAACACCGTGATCTTGACATTGGTAGGGATTATACTAGGGTTATGATTCGGTTTTGGGGTGGGCTTATCATTGGGATCCCAATACAGTTACAGAACAGCTTGCGCGTTCTAGATCGATTAACACAGGGGTCATCCTATGCGATCATAGGGATCCTGATGTGGTCCTGGGGATGCCACTACGATTGCAATAGCGATCTGATTGCATTACGACCCTGAGGAGGGACCGGAGGACAGGACCGGGCATGTTCGGGGCTTCGAATTTAGAATCTGAAGGGCCCCAAGCTCCGGTGTTTGGTATCTTCAGCGCCCGTGCCGGCATACTTCGTATCGCCAACAAGATGAACACACACGCGGACATGGGCAACTCCAGCATGCAGATGATGAGACCTGGCTTTGGCCACGCAGCCAGGCAGATTGAAGCCCGGATCCTGGCGTCAGCGCACAGCCCACTTGGACAAGGCCGCACATTGTGTGAGCATGACGGCTTTGTCTAAACCAGACTACGATAGAGGTCTGGAGGAAGTGGCAAAATGCAGATGCGATACTTGGGGACTTAAGGTAGGCAATTCATGTTGGAAGCAACTTCCTCGCGGCCAGGCCATGATATTGTGCTCTACGGCAAGCGCTACTTGCTGTGGCTTCGACGGGCTTCGGCCTGAGAAATACCGAGCTGACTCAGCTTGAAATTGCCATCCATGGAGCTGACCTGACAGATAACATTCTTTCACGCGCAGCACCCTGGCAAGCCTGACCAGGCCTTGCAGCGCGCAGCCATCGAGGCTAGGCAGACACGGTGCGCCGAGTGCTCAGGTTTGAAACTTTACACACCTACTTGTAAATCCCGAAACCGTCAGAACCGCAGACCCCTTGTAAGGCCAGTGTCCTGCGAGCCTCTTCGGGCGTCGCCGAGCGCGAGATGCGTCGTTTGGAAGCAGCTCTCCGAGCCTAAACAGGCCCCGGGGAGCGGGGGAGGCTGGGTTCGCTTGGTGGGAGTAGCTTGCATACTTTCCCAAATCTCTCAGCATGTACATTTGTACATGTTATACATATGTACGTATGTACATGTGTGCGTACATATATATATATATTAATTTTGATATGTATATATTATGCATGTATACTATGCATATATATTATGCATATGCATTTATTTATTTGTTCGTGTATTTATTTAGTTGTATGTATGTACGTATGTATGTACGTATGTATGTATGTATGTATGTATGTATGTGCGTATGTATGTATTTTTGTATGTATTTTTTTGTATGTATTTTTCGTATGTATGTATGTATGTATGTATGTATGTATGTATGTATGTATGTGTGTATGTGTGTATGTGTGTATGTATGTATATCGTAATAATAGTACTATGCACATACACAGATTCACGAATGTGAGTTACGTGTTTGAACTGCTTCTGTGCTTGATAATGTGCTTATGTACTTGTTCCCAAGTTCGGCATGGCTTCATTTTTCATGGTGCTCTACTCTAATATAGAAACAATCATATCAATCGTAAGAGCAATATTAACAAGCGTAGTAATACAAGTAAGGCGGGATGTCCCTTGCTGCCCTTTGCAATGTGTCTTTGCAGGCTAAGATCGTCGAAGAGCTTCCCGGTCGACTGAGAGCTTTTTTGTGGGGCTTTTTGGAGCATAATAGAATACTCGTATTTTGTTATACTAGAACAGAATGTAGCATAATCGAAAATATTATAATGTAATATAACACCATATAGTGACTGAAGATGCCTCAGCCAAGTTGCATGGGGGTGGTGACGACAAGGACGCTGTGTCTCCCCAGCGTTGCATCTATCGTGTCGCACCCCCTCATCTAGCTGTCTAGCTTACTTCCGTCGGGGAGTCACGGCGGGCCTGCGTCCCGTGGCAGTAGGCGTTTCACTCATTGCCGGGCTTGGTCAGACAGCACTCCTTTGTTTCCAACTTTGCAGGCGTTCTGAATGTAGGTCGCAGAGGCAATGAAAGCTCTTGGTCCTGTACTTCTGCAGCGCGCCGACACTTCCAGGACTAACTAGCCTGCAGCTCGTGCCGCGAACTCTATACTGGGAACCAGGGTTGTGCAAGCACATGCCGGCAGTTGTGCTGACGGCGATGCCGAAGACGACGACGGCGACGAAAAAGAGGACGATGACGAGTAATCGCACACGATTGCGGGTTTTTGTGGGGCTGTTCTTGTGCCAATGCTGTTGGTACAGTAGCTGTGTTTGGTGCTACTGCCATGACTACTGCCATTGAAATCGATGTAAGTACCATTTACAGTTTTACATGTCAATGATGGTTTCGCCATAGTACGATCATGCTGTCATGCTTGTTGTCGCGCATGCCGTTTAATTGTGATCGTTATGGCCGTGTTGAGTGTTGCTGCAACTGCTACGACTACTACGACTACTACTACTACTGCTGCTGCTGCTGCTACTACTACTACTACCACCACCACCACTCCGGTCAACCTGACCAGAGATCCCGGCTATGCCAATGTTCGACATTGTGACCTGGACTGGCAGGTGGTGCCAGGAGTGCGAGGGGTGAGCCTACACAGGATTTGGTGGATGTGTGAGATAACGGGCACCTTTAATCAAGGGTACTTGCAGTAAGGATCTTGCTGCGCTGAATCTACATTGGGGACGCACGTTTCAAGTTCAGGCTTCTAGTCCGGACTAGCGAGGATATGTCGTTTGTGCAACTGTCGTGGCTGGCTGCACCCGAATCTGATTCCTTCGATTGCCTGTTAGTACGTAGGTATGTATGCATGTATGTATGCATGCATGTATGTATGTATGCAGACACACCTACCTACCTACCTACCTACCTACCTACCTACCTACATACATACCTACATACGTACGTGCATTACATGCATACATTACATGTGTATATGTGTGTGTGTGTATATATATATGTATGTATATACATGTCCCTGCAGTTGGCACCACCGGCGACGGGTTCAGGTGGATGCTGGCAGCAAAGCTGGCCGCACCTTTGCACGCACAACTACAGGATCTGAAAGCCTGTTGAACAAAAGGTGTGTGTGCTATCTTGTGGTGAAGAGCTGGGAGACCGAGATCAGTCAGCGAAACACTTTTCCAAGTCTGCACACTCTCCAAGTTAAAGCTTGCTGTCGCTCGACTCGCCCGTGAGCTCACGAGAGAGTGCCGTCTGTTAGATGACCGCTCACACGGATTTCGGCTCAACAGGGTGTCGTTTAGAGTTGTTGCAGATGATGCGGTGATGAATCGGATGGCAGGTGGATAGCCCACAAGAATGGATGTGTCGACCTCATCATTGGGTTCAGGCACAAGTCCCTTGTTGAGCTTTCCAGCGAGGGGACCCACGCCGCGGGCGGTGTCTTCTAGCAACTCCGATGACACGGGAGAGACGATGGTGAGACGACTAAGCGAGATATCCACGTCTTCAATCAGCTTCGATGCCAGCAAGCTTGCCATGTACAAGAACTTCTCAGGGCGCTCAGCCTATGCCCGCGACCTGGATGGTGAGGCCGTGGGTAGACCCTCTCGGAGACTTCGCCCATCCGGCTACTCCTCTACGCGGTCAGCTCCGATTGCCGAGAGGGCAGAGGTGGAGGCTAAGCTGGAGGAGGAGGAGGAAAAGAAAAACAAGACTTACATCGAAAACGTGCAGCCTTCAAAGGTGGTAAAGACGACCGTCATCTCGCTGTGAAGGTCTTGTGAGGCACATGCCAGGGACCGGCCAGTCTTCAGCCCACGGTACCTTAGCAGAGTGGTTCCAGGTTCCATGTGAGAGCTGCGGCACACGGCACACGTGAGCATCTGTGTTAGGGCATCTGACCGCACCGCTGGCAGTGGGAGAATAGGCATCATTGGATTTTTGAACCGCCGAAGCCATCACTGGAGAACCATGTCAGCGTTCTTGGGTGGCATTGCCCGTCAAACGGAGACATGCTCCCTCCAACAAGCTTCATCAATGTTCCGTTTACTCTCAGCGCACTGGGCGACCTTGCCTTTTCAAAACATAGAAACACAGCTAACATATAAACACAGCTGACTCTGATGAAGGAGATTTTTGTGTTTGGTTCAGTAGTGTGTCTAAGGACACTGCCGGGTCGCCGGGCCGACGCTTTTCCGGAGATGAGCTTTCCTAGATCTGTTTCACCCAGTCTCCAGACCACCACACAGTGACAGAAAGAGGATGGCCGAAGAGTCCATGTGAGGCTTTTGCCCCTAAGGCCCAGAAGAGTCCATGAGTGACTGCATCAGAGTGCGAAGTAGTCGGTCCGACCTGCAAGAGGGAGTGAGATGCAAACACCGCAGCACGGGTTCTCAAGCCAAGTGCCATTTTTCCAAAGCAGGTTCGAAGATCCTCTAAAGGAGGGAACAGCAAGGTCAGACATCCAGCCACAAGACGGCTCGGCGGAACTATTGCGACCGCTCTGCCGGGCCTGATCCACTTGGACGGCCTTGCCCTGTCCTGCTTTGAGCATTTTCGGCATCATGGGCGTCGGTGCATCACTCCTCAAGCATTCTGTGGTCGGTGTCGCCTTGTCCGGCATCGTTTGGTGGGCCGGGTTCGGTTTGCGCCGCAGCTTCCTGCCGGCCCTTCAAGAACAGGCACCACTGATTCGCCGTGAATCTTCCGTTGAGTCGGACTCACGGAAGTCGCATCGAAGGAAAAAGAAAGAATGCAAGAAGAGCGAGTGTGTGACCGCTGAGGAGTTGATGAGGATGGGAATTTGCTATGGCGAGCAAGGGCGACTGGGGAAAGCCATGGGCAAGTTCCTTGAAGCCAAGGGTGCCTTCGAAGATGAGCGGGCCATGGAATGTGCAGGATACGCGAATCTTCTAGCTCAGATTGGCATTTGGTATGGAATGCAAAATCAGAAAAAAGAGGAGATGGACAAGTACTTGGAGGCTCAAAGAGTGTACAGGAAGATTGGAACCAGCTCATCGAGGGAGTATGCTGGTCTCCTCAAGAACATGGGAATCTGGTTCATGGAGCAAGGTCTCTGTCTTAGCTTGTTCGATTATGTATCTGTTGCGAGTGTCCCGAACTGCGACACTGAAACGGGAGTCCGAGTAATCATTGCCGTCATTGCTGATGATTAAGGTCTCCTCCCAGAAGCCATGGAGAAATTCAAGGAAGCAGAGGCGCAGTATGTCTCGGCCGGCGCTACACGCACAACCAACTATGCAGGCCGGATTCCCCGATTCCGTGTAAGACCTCTCTGTGCCTTGCCTCTGAACATCGATGTCGGCCTGAATCTTGGTGAAGGCTCATGCCTGATTTCTGCTTGATGTGGGAAGCCGGCCAATGCTAGATAGGCCTGCCAAGACGTGCAAACCTTCCAAGAGAATCTAGAGTCCTCAACGACCCTATACTCTACCACCCCAAGTAACACTAAAGCCCAGCACGCTAAACCTTTATATCCATAATATGACAAAGCCCTAAGCTGCCCACCCGCTCCCTCGAAGGCCTGCTCACCAGCATGGGCAAGTGGCTCCTGCATCACGGCTCGGAAGATGACGCTATGGCCAAGTTCGTGGTCGCCAGGTTCCGCGATGCCGGGAGGAGCTAGAACATAGGGGTTTAAGTTTTACGGTTTAAAGAGAAGTCGAGGAAATAGTGAGAGCATATCAGTGCGGGGTACCCGACGTATTGACACCAATGTGAGGAGCAAGAAGACTTCCGGTTGCTTGCGTGCAAGTCTGCCTGAAGGGTTTCAGGTGTGAATTGGCGAAGGACTCCGAAATTGACACGGTATGAAGTTCCCCACAACAGATCCAAGCTTTGGCGGCCTGCTTGTTTCCGGGCCTTTGACCCCTAAACCCTAAGCCCTATCCCAAACCTAAGCTTTGGTTCTGTTCAGGCAGACCTATGAAGCGACGGAGGACACCAGAGCTTCACCAGGATATGCCGGCCTGCTGATGAGCATGGGCAGCCACTGGGTTGCGTTTAGGGTTTGAGGAGTTCCTGTTGGCCAGTATCTTTCAGTAAGCAAGTGTCTGGCCACTGTTCTGGGGCGTAGGCACCGCAACCGGCAAAACCTGCAACTGGACGACTACTTGTGGCCACATAGACTGGGCGTAAACAGTCTGAGGAGTAACAAAAACCTGCACAGGCACCTTACTCAGAGAACTGATACAAGTCTGTTTCGCTTCGGGTGTCGCAGCGCGAGTAAGCGTGGGAGCAGCGGCTAGGAAAGGCAGCAGAAGCAGCAGCAAAGTAGTCGTACAGCCTGCGCTGTCAAGCTCCTACCGGAACTGCTGCTGCTACGACGACTACTACTACTGCCGCTGCCACTGCTGCTACTACTGCTACTACTGCTGCTACTGCTGCTACTGCTGCTACTGCTGCTACTACTACTACTACTACTAGTATTACTACTAGTATTA